ACAAGAGAAAAGATCCACTTTCTGCAGAAAAGCAGGCGCTCCCCTATCAAATTGTAGTTCTACGGCGCCATCTTGTGGTTTAGTTGCGACACTTCATATGCTGTGATTTAACAACGCCTTATTTGCATTATTTGTCGTTTTAACACTATAACCTTGTAAAGAAACAGGCAATTAATACTGTGCACACAAAGAGGCATGTGTTTGTCGCTTTCTGGACCTACTTTCTAACCAAAAACAAGGTGCTGTTTTAGTTTGGCGACACCTGTGTTTGCGTTAGTAACAAGGTGCGTAAGAGGGAGCCACACCTTTAGGCCGAAAGTGATCTTGAAATGTACCATAGTGGCTGCAGGGGAACATAGTGTTACATTAAACAAACAAAAATGTTCACGATTTGTGCAGAAAGTTGCACAGTTTAACTTTTAATTAAAAACTATCACTCATGTCTAAAAGCTATCGGGTTAATATCTGTTGTTGGATTATGAAAGTAATCAGGGCTACACCCAAGAGATGCAGACCTCAACTTCAATGAGCAAAACTAATAAAGTAACCCAAAAAAAAAATCACTTTTACCTGTTAACTTGCTTTCGATCCCATTCTTCTCCATCCTTGCTTATGTTTTTTCCCCCTTTTGTCGTTATTTTGCAGGTTTTCTCCTCGTTCGCTTCGTTTCACCACCAGCTGCTCTCTGTTTTCATGTGTGCAATTTCCAGAAAGAGGAAAAAAAAAATCTCTGTAAGCCAACAAGAGCTCGATCTGCACGCAGGGGAATACTGCAGGCTCCAACACCGGTTTGACGAGACTGTCATTCAAGCTGGGCTGCTGATGTCAGACAGGGCAGGCTACACCCCACACTGTCCTGTGCCGTCATACAGCGAGTAGGTTAAGACGACCTTGTTGCAAAGTTTTGTTTTGGTTTTTATTGTTTATTTATGCTTTCTGAACCTGCCTTTGAAGAAAAAGTTACTTTCTTTTCATAATCTTGTATGTGAGAACAGGACACCCTGTGATGGTCTCCAGAGGCAAACGGAGAATGAATGGGGATGGAAGAAACACCCACAACCTTGTAGAGATAGTGAAAAGTCATATCTCAATCCGTGTTGGAGCCTGGGGCTAGTGAATTTAACGTGCACACCCACCACTCCTTTGAACACAAAGTAAACATATCCAGGTAGTCTGAATGGAGGAGCTTTATAGCTATAAGTACAACTGGCTCTCTGCCAGCCACATAGTTGAGAATGTCTTTTTGAGGATGTTTGACTAATGAGTAGGACAGGTGAAGTCTTTACTTCCTATTTTGCTAGCGTATTGTTTGTTCATCTTTCTTTAAATGATTTTTTTTTCGGCTCTAGTGGCCTTTGTTTTGTAGTAAAGTGGCAGGAAAGTGGGCAAGGAGGAAGACATAAGTGGGAAAAAGGGTCAACTGGCCGGGACTGGAGCCCGCCGCACGCTTTCCCCCTGCGCCTCGGCCGCGCCCATTTGCTAGCAGCTTTGCCTTGGTGGGATAATAGCGGCGCAGTCGGTGTAGCGCAGAGGCTCCTGTAGCTCTCAGCACTTCTCTTTCAAACCTGGCTTACCCTCAGCGCACTGTCAGCGGTGGAGAGCTTCCGGACGGTACCCAACAAGCCCCCCCACCCCAACCATCCCTCTGGTAAAACCACAGTACACAGCATATCGAAGGTTTTGAAAAGCCTTAAAACCACAGAAATATAAGTAAGATGCTAGAAAAAGTGACTTGAGTTTTCCCACACCTGATGCTGCCTATTAGCTGGATGAGAGTCGGGTAATAAACATTTCCCATATGCATTGAAAAGACAAATTCAGCTTTTTGTCATCAGGTGGAAAATAAGAAACTAAGGTTGTTTTGAAGGTACAGCATGAGCTGGTTGGCATGAAGCTGCTTTCATTAGAAGTAATTTGATCGTGTTACACATTGCTGTAGAAATTCATGTGGCTCCATACAAAGCTCTGGTTGAGCTTTTGTCACAAATGTTTTGGATCACTAAATAAATGTTAATGTCTGACAAAGATAAGCTGGTTAGATACTAAATGCAGCTTTCAAATGATTCAAAGGTGCTAGTTAAATCAATCTGCTCCTGGATTTAAGCCTAGAAGTTGACTAAGCCACTTCAAAACATTCATTTAATTAGTTTGAACCAGTCAGAGATGAATTTGCTGGTTTGTTTTAGATCATTGTCTAAAGTAAACCAGAAAGTGATCTAAAGCAACCGTCTGTTTTTTTTGCATAACCCAATAAAAGACGATTCCATCAGTTTGGGTGTTTCATCCAGGTCCTGCAGCCACAAAGCAGCTCCATCACCATCAAACTGTTACCAGCATGTTTTTGTTTTTTTTTATTTTTTAATGGTTTTTTTTTTTTTTTTTTTTTTTTTTTTTATGAATCCGTGTTTTTGCAAACATTGCACGTTATATTTGAGTTATAGACTCATATTGGTTGAGTTGTAATAACATTTTAGGATTTTTAAGAATATAAAAAACACTCAAGTATCTGAAAATGATGAAGCTATAGTAACTTCGTTTTTGCGGGGATAACACTAACTGGCCAAGGGACTTTTTAAACCTATTATCATTTGATATCATCAGTTCAAACCCGGTCTATAGGACTACCTATTAATGTGCAATAATTTCCATTAGTGCAATAAACTTTTGCACTGTATCAATCCGGAAACCAAAACAGCTTTCGGACCCAAAGGCAACAAGACACACACTTTTCCTGAGGTTCCACTGTCGTTTCATCTCTCAAAAGTCCAGAGAATGTTTCCCCTGAAGTAGCTTTCTTTTGTCTTTACAAATGTGACAGGCATTTGTTTTCTTTTTGGTCAACAAATGTTTGACTAAACCATTTGCCTAAAGACAAAAACATTTTAATTTCTTAACTGAGGCATTTGTGACCTGCAGAGGTGACATTCTTCTCTTACTTCCTGGAGGAGTCGCTGATGCATTCCTGGAATAATTTTGCCAGGATAGTAACGTCTGGGTGTGTTCACATAAGGCTAAATCTTCATTTATGTTTATTCTGGGTATTTCTATGTGATATTAACGCTAGTTTGATTATCTGAAATATTTAAGTGCAAAAATAAATAAATAAAACACTTTTTCACAAACCTGTACATTTTCATTTTTTAAATGTTTGTGCTAATTGAGGATTTTCTGCTTATGTTATAAACCTTATGTTTATAGTACTGCTAAGGTTTGAACTGTTTTCTGACATTCACATTAAAGTGTTGCACAGTATTTACTATCAACACAGAGTGACCTTTACCTCATAAAGCATTCAGCAGCTATTTAATACTTTAAAAAAAAACACACCACAAGGACAGTCATAAAAAATATTTGTAAATATGTTAAAGCCAACAATAAAAGGTGACAAAGAAGAGCTACAACTTAAAGCTCATTTCAAAGAGAGAGGTGTGTGAGCCTGTGCTTGTGAAACAAGCAAGAACAGGCCTGTCTGTTTCCTCACATACCACTAATACCATCAGTGTGCAAGTTTTCCCCACGTCTCAGGCTCCTGTTTTACTCCACTTGTTACAAATGTCCTCTGTTGTGAATATGTGTTTGCAAAGATCATAGAACCAGTTTCATTCCATAAATACTCGTCTAATGTCTCACCTGTGTAAAATATGTCTTTGGTAAACTTTAAAATATTCACACTCACAGTCAGCCTCTGGAGTTCTTCAAATCTTGCTTGACTATTTAACACCTGAGATTAGAAATGCAGCACAGATATTTAGTTCATGACTCAGCGTTTCCTTTAAATTGAAAGAATGATGTAACATTAGAGGCGCCCAAACCATTTAGGGTTCCACCAGTACTGGTGCAGACGCTGCGGTTGTTGGACATGTAGAGTTTTATTGTGAACTAAAATGATGAGGGGGGAAAATGACAAAAATCTGCTATTTTTATTTTTTAGGCCTCACAGTTTGAGTTTAAAGCTGCTATCCTCACTTTTCTGTGAAATCAGCTAAACAAACTTTAGATATAGTGTGTTGTATCATGGTCTGTTTGCTGTTAAATGTTTGTTTTGCTGTTTTTCTGTAAAACTTTATCTAATCACGATGAAATGTGCCCTCCTGAAACAGACTTCCGAGCAACTCGTGCATCCGATGACATCACAGAAGGTGTGGCGAAGCTGCCGGTCATTTTAGGTTCTCCTGTTTGTATTTTTCCTTGCATTTTTTATTCACATTTTTAAATAAAATCTTCCATCAAAGTTGTTTATTAATTTTTTATTGCTTCATTGCGCTTTTTTAGTTTTTAAACTGAAAATGTTGTGTAATCCTGAAGTAGAAATCCACACTTTTTTTTCTTACCCAGTTGGGCTTTTTTTTATCAGTATGTTGCCAGTTTATTAGTGAGGAAAAATACACACACTGGATTGTGTCTTGAATGAGAAAATAGTATAATCTCAATTGGATCAACATTAACATCTCATACATGTGCAAAATTATTTGGGTCTTCAATAACAATTGTTCCCAGTGGTGGCGTACCAACTCAAATGTTGGGTCTTGGGGTCCTCTTTAGAAATCAAGACCAATAATGAGGTGTAGTAGAGGATCACTGAACTCAACTTTCTTTTTTCTTAACAGAAAAGTCCTATTTTCTTAGGCGTTTCAGTCTTTACTCTTGTGGTAGACGTTAAAAAGTTTATTAATTTTTACATTATTTCTCGAAATATTTGGGGAGATGGGCTTTCTGACGTCTATGAATTGAAAACGGCACAAGTATTGGAATATCAGCGCCATCTGTTGGTTATATTTTATTAATGTGGATAACAACAAGGATTGTCTCGGTCATGACACGTGACCTACATATTTTTGAAAAATAACTGTTTTTTGGGTTGCGGCTAAACCATTGTTTGTTTGGTACCGACAATGATGTTTCCTTTACTGGCTTTAAGTGTGAAGCGCGACTGCTGCCTAACTGAAGAGGGCGACATCTTGGTTCCTCCCTCTCTGTCTTACGTATGACGTTGCGTCAGACGCGCGTAAAGTTGTGTTGACAGGGGCGGCGGCAGCGGCAGGAGTTGTCAAAGGAACAGCAGCAACCAGACTCAACGGACCCGAATGGAGTAAAGTCAAATCTGTCATTTTAGACCGCGTTTGTGTTATAGCTCCCAAGCGCTTTTACAGACCACTGAGGAAACAAACATGGCAGACGAACAGTCCACCCAGTCCTGGACCATTAACAGGGATGACTACGAACTCAACGAGGTGATAGGTGAGTAGCTTAGCCTGCTAATGTTAGCATCGTAGCCCTGTCTCCACTGCAGCGTTGGCTGACATCTGCTGCTAGCCTCGCCAGCTACTAGCGTTGCATGTCTGCTGCAGTCAGAAGTCAAGTTCCAACCCGTAGCTCTTCATGCAGGCCGGTAGTTTCCCTCGGGCAAGGCCACTTGCTCTTGTTAGCTGGAAAGCAAATATGAGGCTGTCTCCTAACTGAGCTACATGAAGCTAAACGACTTGCTAGTAAAATTTAGCCGGCGAGTGTGAGAGAATCGCTGTGAGAGGATAGAGGGAGGTGCTATTTGCTCGAAGTATAATCCTCACATATATATGTATATAACACAGTATACGGTGATTTCTTGCTTTAGAAAAGAAAATACATTTCGGAGGTGAGAAGTGATGGTAGCTGCATTGTAAGCTGGGCTGTGTGAGGCTTGCCTGGTCTTACATCTAGTAGTAGTTATCCCTTATTCCACATCAAAGTTTTTATAAAGAACTATTTGATCTACTAGTTCTCCTCACTGCTAATGTTGATCTCGTCAGGGAGTGGAGCCACTGCAGTTGTTCAGGCAGCATACTGCAAGCCAAGAAAGGAGAAGGTGGCCATCAAACGCATCAACCTGGAAAAGTGTCAAACTAGCATGGATGAGCTCCTGGTAAGACACCTTCGAAAGCAATGGGATTGTGTTTGTAGCCCTGCAAGTGTACAGGAATGCTTTTTCGCGTTTTTTAAATTTATTTTTTATTATTTTTTACTGAAACTCGGAGATTGTAAGATTATATCAAGTAAAAAAATATTTTATTATACTTTATACTACACTTTAATGTAACTTCAAATACTGAAACAAAGTTTCATACATATTTGCATACTAGATAAACATGTTAGAAACTTTTGATTTGTTTGGCCCAGATCAGTTTATTTCCAGTTTATTACTGATACACTACGCCTGATTTTCTGTTAAGTGCGAAAAAGTTTACCAAGGTGCTGAAGTTTATTAACCTGTCAGTAGAACATCATGAGTTGTGTAACATGTTATAACAAATATACATTTTACAAAAGTTCTAAGAAGTGTTGAATGTTAGATTAATGAAACTTGGTTAAACCTGAGAATATGTAAGAGCAGCAGTCCTAACTTTGGATGCTGTTGCTGAATGTGGATACCTCAAGGTTTGTTATTTTTAGTATCATTGAAGGGTTTAAACAGGAAATCAGTGGAAGAACTAACATACAAGAACCTTTTTTCAAAGAAAACCGTACAATACTCGTCTAAAATATGTGATGTCTGTGCTTCACTCGGGCTGCGTAAGAGTGAGAGAGCAAGACTTTCAGCAGGTAACAGAACGGCTGACTATTAATGCATCGTTACTCTGCTTTATTCTTGTGAAACATGTCCTGTTTGGAAATATAGGCAATTGTTTTAGTAATGCTAACTGTGCCAATATAAGTTTCTAAAAAATGGTTTATAATGGGAACTCCTCACTAAATTGTTATTGTTAAATAGTGCAATAACTCTGTTTTTGAGTGACTGCTCTCTCGCACAGCGGCCTGTCGTTGCCCTGTTCATATTATAAATAATGACCATCATAGCAGGAGAGAAAGTATTTCGCTGTTGTCTTTAAATTCTTACTTTTCTGTAAGAAAAAAAAATCAAAATCAGATAAAACTTGTTTTAGCAGAGATCGAAGAAGAGTTTCTTTTTTGCACTTGGTCACAATTTTTAAAAAGTTGCATTTTTCCCCCCCCCCCATTTTCCTAATTTACCAACAGAAATAGGTTTGACACATTTATGCTCTCCAGTGTATGACTGGACATAATAAGCCACCTATTAGTCTTGGAATTCAGCAGCGAAATAATCACTGTGGGTGGAATGTCAGCGTTTGTTTAATCCAGTGAAACAAGAGCCCAAAGGTCAAGGTGCTTAATTGCAACTATGCAAAACTGTGGCAGCTATTATTGCTTATTAAAAGCAACACACCAATTGGAGATGTCAAATCATCTACGTAACTGTTTCGGGATACTTTCTTTGCTTTTACTTGCAGCAAAATGTTACAGTAGATCATCAGATACGACTTTGCTCTCTTTGAATCATTGCCTTTTGTTGGTTGTCACACACTTCATCATCAACATCTGTGCTATCTGATGCGAACATTGTTGCAATGGTGCTTTTGTTGTGCTTCAGCCTAATCTAACTAGGTGTTCTGACATTTCCAGAGTCCTGAATAAACATTTGTCTGCCCGCTCTATTTAAAAAAAGAAACCCATCTTGTGACTCTGTGATGATCTAACCAAATGTAGTCAGTTATTTTTCTTGTCCAGACCTGATTTAAAGCGTGTATACCTGTTTTATGTCTTGGCTGTTTTAACAGGGAGATTAAACTCTTATATACAGACTTGGACTGAATCCTGGCTTAAGCTAACGGTTGAGCTTTTCATGCTTTTTTTTCTTTTCCCCATTTGTGCAGAAAGAGATTCAGGCTATGAGCCAGTGCCACCATCCAAACATTGTGTCTTATTATACCTCCTTTGTGGTGAAAGATGAACTGTGGCTGGTGATGAAGCTGCTCAGTGGTGGTAAGTAGGCCTGGCCAACTTTATTTACCCTTATTTGCTTTGTCAGATCAGGTTTTCGTCTTACCACAAAGCTTGACGAAAGGATAGATTGTTGGCCAGGCTCCAGTTGTTCTTGGCTGCCAAACTTTTCCAATAGTTGACCAATCTAGTCGGGGGAAAAAACAATAAAAGTGTCGCCTCATTTTCTATCATGAGGTTTTCTGCGAGTTGCACTCTTCCAGAGGCTTAGCGGGTCACAGAACGGCCGGTGCGTCTCGTGACAAGCCTCTGCCTTTCTTCCAGGCTCCGTGTTGGACATCATCAAGCACATCATTTCGCGCGGCGAGCACAGGAACGGAGTGCTGGACGAGGCCAGCATCGCTTCGATCCTGAAGGAAGTCTTGGAGGGGCTGGAGTACCTTCACAAAAACGGACAGATTCATCGGTGAGACCTGACGAGCTGGCGGCAGACAAAACGCCGCTATCCGGCTCGGAGCTTTTCGCCTCCGCAGTCTGAACTTGATCTCACTCTTTTAATATTTAATGCAGTCAAAATGCATAATTGAGGAGGTTTGTTTTACATAAAAGTCCCTCACGGGGAACATCTTGAGGCACAACTGAAAAGAGAGGCCACTCTGTCCCCCCCGTGATGTGCCACGTTACGAGTGTCACTGCATCACACTAGACAACTTTCTATTTAAGAAGGATTTCCGCATAACCACATTGATTACGTTGGAGCAGAATATGTCCAACACATAATTTGATTACCTCATACTTTTTAGACTTTTTCTGACTTTAAGTTCAGTTGACAGAGCAGCAGCTGATTGGGCTCAGATGATGTGACTAACTCACTTAAACCTAATCTGTGAGGATGAGGCCTCAGGACCCAGGGCGTCCTTAATCTGTTTTAGCTCTTTGTGGAAAGTTTGCACCTACTTTACAAAGAGTGCCCACGTACCCTTAAAAAGTCTTAAATTTGTGTTTCTAAAATTAAGGCCTTAAAATGTCTTAAGTTCATTTTTAAAAATGTAAGTTGGCTTTAAATACGCTAATCAGAGGTCTTAAATTTAGCTGTGGCAAAACTATTTAATCTAGTATGTATTTAATGTTTTTCTTGAGTGACTTTTAAGTCAGGCAAAAATTTGAGTTGAACACAGATGGCTTCACTGGGTTGCGTAATACTAGATGCTAATATACTCTTGCTAGCTAGCAAGGTAGCTTTTTTCTTTGCATCTATCATGGGTAAGTGCAAATCTCTCCCCAGCTGGCTTTGATTTTTCGCCACTGGCTCACTTCTCAGTCTTATGAGCCAGCCCAACAATCCCCTATATTTATAGTTTTTTTGGTCTTAAATTTTATTCATGTTAGGTTACGAAAAAGATCTTAAAAAGTTTTAAATTTGAGTTGCTGAAACCTGTAGATGCCCTGTTTTATAGTACGTGTAAAAACCAAGAACAATAGGATGAACGCACTAATTGAATTCCTCACTCTTTGCCATCAGAGACCTTAAGGCTGGAAACATTCTTCTCGGAGACGACGGCTCAGTGCAGATAGCTGGTAAAGTGTTTTTCTCCCGTTTCTGTTCCTGTGACTTAAACAAGAAGTTACACTTTGAAGTATGCATCATAGTTTGAAAAGGTTGGAGAAATAATCTCTGCGTAGATTTTTTTAAAACATCTTTTCTTTTCTTGGCGTTCACACCACAGACTTTGGTGTGAGTGCCTTTCTAGCCACAGGGGGAGACATGACGAGGAATAAGGTTCGGAAGACGTTTGTTGGGACGCCGTGCTGGATGGCGCCGGAGGTCATGGAGCAGGTGGGAGTTGTCCTTCAGTTTCATCTTGTACTGTATCTAAAACAGGGGGGAAAAAATTATGTTCAACATTTTGTCCAAATGGCTTTTATTTTTATATCACCAGGTCCGTGGCTACGACTTCAAAGCAGACATCTGGAGCTTTGGGATAACCGCCATCGAACTGGCCACTGGGGCCGCGCCGTATCACAAATACCCACCAATGAAGGTGACTGGGCACTTAGCACCTTTATTTGCTAGTTATGCAGATATCTAATGGTTTCCTTTTTGCTCGAGCAATCCAGAAAATTTCGGTTTGCATTTGAGCCTCTGCTTGTTGTTGAGATGCTGGATCTGGAGATTGTATCACTTTGTAATAAAGAGTAATCTAACATTTGATTAAAATCCTACATTTGAATACTGTCGGAACTAGATATTTTTAATATATTGTAAATAAATGCATAATAAAAAATTGGACACATTTTTTCCTCACTGAATCAGTGAAACTTTGTGAACTTAAATCAGACGAAACTTTTCTTACTTTAGTTCAGTCAGAATAAAATATTTCTATTTGTTAAACATAAGAATCCTAAGTGAGAACATTTTTGGGGATTTTTTTTGTAACTTTCTTTGTATATTGTGTTCAAGCATTTAATTTGAGCGTAAAGATAATTTAACCTGTCTGTCACTAGAGGACCCAAATTTGGGTCCTCTCGTGACAGGGGTGTCAAACTCCAGTCCTGAAGGGCCGCTGTCCTGCAACTTTTAGATGTGCCTCTGCTGCACCACACCTGAAAAGAATAATTAGTTTTTAATCATGCGGCGGCCACCGAGATCTACACAGGGAGGAGGTAATTAAGCCATTTCATTCCACTGTTTTTTTACCTGTGGCACATCTAAACACTGCAGGACAGCGGCCCTTGAGGACTGGAGTTTGACACCCCTGTCATTGTGAATGACAACCTGAGACCAACAGGTTAACTTAACACAATTTGATTGGATTGTTTCAATATCATGACTATTTATTATTCCTAATGGCTCAATGACTAATTGATCTGTGTAAATGAAATAAAGGTCATCTTATGTTTTATACTTTAAAAACATTGATATTTTGTAATTTAGTTTTTTGTTGACCAGTCAGGTGTATGTCGTGCGCGTGTGAGAGACATTTAAAAGCATGAAATTTTGTTAGTTTATTTTGTTCCAGCTGCAGAATGCTATCATAAGACATAATAATCATAATAAATTATATAATTCTAGTTAATTGAAACTGCCTTTTTTTTTAGTTCATTTGTATTGTTTGTTTGTTTTTTATCTCAAAAGTGTGGGGCTGAAAAAGTTTTAAAACTTACCTTGAAAAGTGCTTGAATTTTAATGTGGCAAAAGTGTTTGAACCCTGGGTACACAAAATCCAGAGACTGTTCATCAGTGCCAGACTTCAGCTCGTCTCTGTTTTTATGTTTTTTTTCTTACTGATGAACCCGTCAGTGTCGTCATCACCTGAATATCTGCGTTTTCCAGGTGTTGATGCTGACTCTGCAGAACGACCCTCCTTGTCTGGAGACGGGTGTTGCGGACAAAGAAACGGTGAAGAAATACGGCAAGTCGTTCAGGAAGATGATCTCCTTGTGTTTACAGAAAGATCCAGAGAAAAGGTCAGTTGGTCTCTGACTCTCTCATTTGCCGACCAGAAGCGCCGTTTGTTCAAAAACATCTGTCTGTGGTCTCTTTTTCAGACCAACGGCTGCTGAGCTGCTGAAGCACAAATTCTTTACAAAAGCCAAGGTGAGCTCTATGTTTATTCATAGAAATTATGGATGGAAGTTATTGATTAATGAGTTCATTTAAAGTTGATAGATCTTATTGATTGACTAACGGTTAAATGATAAACTGCCATTTTCTTCTATCAAGATGGCTGACTGTCTTTTCACAACATGAAGTGTGACATTTTTCATAATGTGCTGAATTAAAAAAAACTATTAAAATTTTACATTATTTTGTTAGCTGTATTAAATATTGACCCCATGAACAGACAGTTGTGGTTCTCATATTATTTAAGTTATACATATTTGTAAAATATCACAAAACAGGAAGCTGTTAGACTGGTGAATAGAAAAATAAAAGATGAAAAGAATACAATATTCCCTATTAACAGAGCAATATTCATGCAGAAGTACTGTCTGTGGTTGCTCTTGAAAGAATGAAGTGCATTTACTCATGTAATTTTTGGTTGGGAAGTTGACGCTGCTCCGTCATGCAGTTCGGCTCATACATGTCAATTTTTGGACTTGAGAATACGGAAATGTCGCCGTCCGGTGCTACTGGCAGGGGATGGAGATACAAAAACGGTAGTTTCCCCGCCATAAAGGGAGACTTGACAGGCTTGGCTCGGCAGAATGAAGCGCTAATAAAGTGATAACTGAAGGAGTTGAGTATTTACATTTTAAAACAGATACCGCATAAAATGAATCTTGCATCCCACACAGTACTCTATTTGGGCCGTTTTCATTACCCGTGTTGATATTGCTCCGCCGCCATCTTTATTCCTTTGTCAACTGGCTCCATCGGCGCCCTCTGCTGGCTGGATGCCAAACTGCAACACTGAAAGAATGTCTAATCGGACATGATTAGATTATTAGATTGGAACAAATTTTAACCTAATTAACTATTGCTCAATAGTTGGTCACAAGTGATTGTTTGCATCCCTAATCAATTTATTCTCAAGTTTTTGAAATGAATGGTTTTAAATGTAGATTTTGTTTTGTTTTGTTGCAGAACAACGAGTACTTGCAGGAAAAGCTCCTGATGAAAGGCCCCACAATATCAGACCGATCTAAAAAGGTTTGGCACTTTTTACCAATGCAGATGAATTTAATGTTTACAGAAAAAAAAACAGTGTTGTTTATGTGACTAAGCTGCGTTGGTTTAACAAGGGTGTGACCCAGTTTCACAGCCTTGGCATGTGACGCACACCAAGATCGGCCTTGGACGGGCTCAAACAGCTGTCCGCAGTAAGCTCTGCTTCTCTTTATTGGGGTGCGTCCTGCAGGTGCGTCGGGTGCCCGGTTCGAGCGGCCGCCTCCACAAGACGGAAGACGGCGGATGGGAGTGGAGCGATGACGAGCTGGACGAGGAGAGTGAGGAGGGAAAAGCCGCCGTGGCCGCCCTGAGGGTGAGACCCCACGTGACAGCCGCTCTGCTCGGCTTTATAAGACCGCTTTTGCAGATGGTGCTCAGGTCCTAACAACCTTTAGCCTTGTAGTGAATGTGTTTTGCTCTTGTATTAATTCAAGGTGGGGGGCTACAATGGCTGAAAGTGGTTTAAATACCTGGCCGGAGAGATGTACCTTCTGCTTACATCTCTGTCTAGTGTTTGTTTTAAATAATGTCTGGCCGTTTTGGGTCTGCTTTCCTGTTAACTCCTCAATCCTATAAAACTCCCAGCAGTCCATGGATGTGGACTGGTGGGGGGGATGAAAGACAAATTGCATGTATTCAATCCTGATAATCTGTCATGTCCATTCTGCAGTCACCCAGAGTGAAGGACGGCTCCCAAAACATGGAGGTGAGTGTATTTGTGGTGGACATGACCCGAAAACTCTTGATTCTCATCACGATGCCGACACACAGCGATCTGCATGACTTTCATTTCCTTCATTCAGTCCTTTATTTTCACATTGAACGTAATAAAAAGACCTCCCAAAATTTATCTGCAAATTTCTGTTAGCTTTTCCCGCCAGCAGATGGCGCCACCACGCATCTGCAGCCACCAGGAGCTGCACACGAGAGACCAGCAAACCTGGCTGCAGCAGGAGACGAAGCTCCGCCACAGGCTGCCACCCAGCCGGCGAGCCCTTCGCATGGACCTGCGGTTCAGGTTTGAACAGGAAAAACTTTCATGGTTTGGCTATTTTCAGGGATGAAACAATTAATCAGACGATTCACGGTTGATCAGTTATTGAAATGATTGTCAACCAATTTAGATTAATCAATTAATTGTTAAATGGAGCATGCAGGGACCAAAAAAGGAAAGGAAAACATATATATATATATATATATATATATATATATATATATATATATAATATTTGGAGCAAAAATAAGCCAAAATTGTACAAAATAAATACATATTTTGAGGATACAACACCTTTGTTTTACACAAAACTCCTCAAGTTGTAGTTTTAGCTTCCCCTGGCTCAAATTCACTTAAGGAAGGCTATTTTTGCATTTTAAGTGATAAAATATGTATTTTTGTATGCATTTGCTTTTCTTAATGTGGTTTAGTGTTGTATAAAAAAGATTCAAGTGGTTAAATGAAATAATGTGACAAATTTTTATCCAATTGATTATCAGAATAACCAATTAATAAAATATTTAGTTGTTAGTTGTAGTAATATTTATTACGTAAGGACAAATATTCTGGCTGTATATTCTCAACAAATTAGTGTGAAGCAACTATATGATTATATCACTTCTTTTGCTTTTCAATTAATATTTCTTATAACATCGTACAGGGTTTATTGTTACTTAAAAATTCTTATAACAATAAAAAATAGAATTTATGGTAACGATAAAGTGTAGTTTTTCCATTTTGAGATGTAGGATTTGGTTTATTCCTGGTTAAAAATCTTGTGGTTTTTGGGACTTTTAAGGATAAATTTTAGCAGCTCTTTTGCAGAGTTGAATGACAATACAACAAAAACGGTTTATTATTTCAATCGGGTTGCGGTCTGGGCCACACCAGAAGCTTAATGTTAGTCAACCTCATCCATTTTTACACCAGTTAGTGTGTGTTTAAGATCGCTGTCCCGCGGGTTCAAAGAATGGCCCAAATAATTCATTAAATGTCCCGAATTAATATGAAACTCGTGTAGATGATTCCATTTAAACTGTGGCATGTTTCCTGCTTATACACAGTCAAACCTTTAATTATTTGACTTTTTACTTCAGGATCCTGCGGCCTCCAGCGTTCCCATCAGCCTTGTCCTCAGACTGAGGAACAACAAGAAGGAGCTCAACGACATCCGTTTTGAGTTCATGAGTGGCAGAGGTAGAAACGCTCGCAGACGGCTTTTTGTCTGTTTTCGTCTCGTCCTGCTCGAAGCCACTCACGTTGTTTCTGTCCTCAGACTCTGCTGATGGCGTCTCTCAGGAGCTGGTCTCAGCCGGTCTGGTTGATGGGAGGGACTTGGTCATCGGTAGGTTGATGACTTTATTCGCTTCGTTACGAAGCGAATAAAGCACATTTAGCACATTTACAGCTCTCGCTTCAATAATAATTGAAGTATTTGTCTGTGCCTTTAAGCTAGTTCCTGTTAATCTCTTTTTTTTCTGTCTTCTGTTTAGTTGCTGCCAATTTGCAAAAGATTGTTGATGATCCTCAGAGTAACAAAAATGTGACCTTTAAACTGGTAAGATAAGAGACTTTATTCTGCTTTAATGACTATATGCATTTTTACCAGGAGTAACCTGGATTTTTAAATGACTTTTTTCTGAGTTATGTACTTAGTTATGCATTAGTTTGAGTATTTAATGTGTAATTGACAAAGTAGTGTAAAGGGAAGTGGTGCCGGTTTTAAGTTATTGTCTAAATAAATTAGAAAAGTGACATGCATTTTTATTTAGTTTGATACTACTATATGAAATAGAGTACAACTCGTTGGGTTAACACAAGCGTTTTGCTATCAGGGCCAAAAACATCAAAATTTCAGAAGATATTTTCTTATTCTTACCAGTCCACATATACATACCTGGTGGCGTATTCTCCAGTGATGCCAGTGCCGATAAACGGGTTGCTGGCTTTATGCAAACCGATTTGATGTAAAAATAAAAAGTGTCTCCATTGCAGTTTTGCGAAAAACACCAATGTCGATACGGCTGAAAAAGGCGACCTCATCTTTGCATAAACACTTTTGAATGAGAGTTCTTTTTTTCAAAGTTCGTGTGTTTCAAGAAGCAAATTTATTCTTGTAATTCCAATTTTATGGTTAATGGAAACACACAGCTAATGAAAATCACGTCAACAAAAATAAAAACAAGCATCCACCTGCATAAACCATCTGTAGTTGCAAGCCCCCATACTTAAAATGTGATTTATTACCGGACAGAGTTATTCAGACCGCCACTAAGGGCCCCAAAGATGCACTTCTGCAACCTTAAAAAGTCTTGAGTTAATTTATCTAAAGTTAAGGCCTTAAAATGTCTCAAATTCACTAAAAAAGTAAGTTTGCCTTTAATATGTTAATCCTAAATTATAATTTTGTGTTGATAGGACTATGTAATGTATATTCAGTTTATCTATTTTTTCTCGTGGGATTTTCTGACAGCCAAAAGTTTGAGTCACACTCACACGTCTTCATTGCGTTCTGTGACTCAGGACGTTGAGGCTACCGCTAACTAGCTGCTAGCATACCCCTTTTTAGCTAGCTAGCCTTTTTTACATCTGCCAATGCCAAGAGCAAATTTATCACAAATTGTTTGGACGACGTTCGTATGTTTTGGTGGAAATATAGGCCTTAAATTTAATTCATAATGGTATTAAAAATATTTTGAGTCTTAAATCAGAGGTAGTTGAAACACTGGATGAAGCAGAAATCATGGCTTTTGTTTGTTTCTAGGCGTCTGGTGTGGAGGAGTCCGAGATTCCCGACGATGTAAAGTTGATCGGGTTTGCGCAGCTCAGCATCAGTTAAGTAGAGCAGCGTTGGCGAAGTAAGACTGAAACGTATGGTTTTGCACAGCTGCATTGTAGTCAACTCCAAGGACCCACTACTGCCAAAGAGAGGAGACTGAGGATGAGGAGGGAGTGGAGTGAGGTTGGCAGGAGTGTGACTGACTCTACTGCAGGATGCACGAGGACCACACCAAGGGGCTCAGCTCATCACAGGAACCACACTTGAAATGTTTACAGTGCGCTTATAGAGTTTAATGGGAGAGAAAAATGCAATCAACTATTATCAGCTCCTAATTCGTTTTCCTTTTAGTCCTCCTCCGCATACACAAGCACAATCCAAACCATCTCCTGCCAGTACTGGAAACTGATGGCCTTTTTTTTTCTTTCTTTCTTTTTTAAAAAAATCAGTTTGTGCCACAAAGCTCGAGAGTGTCGTGCCACTGTCACGCGGCGCTTTCTGCTACACTGAAACTGAAATTTCAGCCTTAGCTACCGTAAACTCCCCTCTCTCCCTCGAGTGTTTGGTTAAATGAATAAATTTCTTTCTTTACAAAAAAAAAAAAAAATATATATATCAAAGAAATCTAAGAGTGTCCCTCAGAGTTCGATACTGTACCTAAACACATCGTAGCAAAGTTCTTGGATCCAGACTCCTTACGAAGCGGTCAGAAATGGTGTAAAGAATCGGAAAACATCAGCGAGGATTTCAGCACTGTTAAAACTATTCTCATGTGAGCAGCAGCGGCTTCAATTTTTTTCATTTTTTTGAATAAAACACTTTATCCACTGGTATTTTCTGATGTAGTGCACAACACAGGTTTATTTTCTCTCACTGAGCTCTGCCTAATATTCTTCTACTATGCAATAGTGCTATAGTGCTGTCTGTTTCATCACATCATCATATTTCACCACCGGTTGCTGTTGTTGCTACTTTGTTTTTGCATGAAACTGCTAATTTTTTTTATTTTTTATTTTTTGTGCGTGCGCCTCCAAAAAGTTCATCAAAGGTCAACCAGCAGAAATAAGCATCTTTAGGAACCTGCTGCAGAAAGTTACAATACTAAAAACCCGACTCATCAACACTTTGACGTTTAGGATGATTGCTGTCTTTTTTTTCTTTTTTCTGTAAGAAATAATTCAGCCTTGTGGCGACTGATGACCTGACAGCTGCAGAGAATCCTGAACGCTGGTGTCGAGTCCGAGGTGACTCATGTTACACGTTGACTGCAAGTGAACTTCTGTGGAGGCATACATGCTCAAAAACTGGAAATGTTCTTCCAAAGTAAAATAAAGCTTGTAGGGGCAGCTTACTCTCATAGCTGTTGGATTTTTCCTTTTCTATTTGGTAGCTTTCATTTTTTGTTGTTTTATTTTTAAGGTCTTTCTGTACTTCACTGAAATTTAGCTGCTACCACATACAATGCAAATGAATACTGAGTCATGGCTGTATGCATGAAGTCTGGTCTACACTTATGGGGGAACTGGTGTCTTTAAAAAAATAGTAACATGTCCTAATGCATACCTGAGTAGCAACAGGGATTTATATGCAAAATGCAGATATATGTTACATTCATACTTTTAACCCTCCTGCAGTCTGTGAATGGTTCCATGCGTTTTTATGAGGCATTTTTTGTGTGTGTGTAGTTTTGGGAACTGACGGTCTGACGGAACAAACTTTCCCCGCTGTAGGGACATTTGCCGCGTTCCTCCTGAGCGTCACGCTAAAGCTAGGTTCATAGTGAGGCGTCAAGGTACGAGTCAATCTTAAATACCAAACCGCTGGCTTGGCTCGCTCAACGTGAACCTTGAAGACCGCGGGAGGGTTAAAGTATCCCGCCTGTCCCCAAGCTGTTAACTTTTCAACAACAAAATCCTAATTCCAGTCACTAGACTGTATCAAAGCTGCAGCGTGTGTTTTTGTTCTGTGCCTCTGCGGTGTTTCCTCTGGTTTCTGTATCAACCAGTCAGTGTTGATGTTCATTTAAAAACCCCTGAGTGCCCTCATCAACAGACTGTCAGGTACCGATGGGACAAATTTCTTAACACCTTCTGTGCAAAAAGCAAGAACTAATTTTTGTTTGTTTGTTTTGGTAGCAGAATTCTATTCTGAAAAGTCCAGAAAATGCAAACTTTAATTTGAGTACATTTATTCAATGACAAAAAAAGACACACACACAATTGTTCCCACCAATAAGAAGTTAGTCTTAAAAATGCTTAAAAAGTTGAGCATTTTTTTTGTTTATCTTTACACTTTTAAGTTGATCAGACTTTTTAGGAGTCTTTTTATATAATAATCTGTGACCTTTTGCATCCCTGGGGTGTAAATATAAAATGACAGAGATGGTAGAAAATATAAATATGATACGTTATACGGATATCACCAATATCGACTCCAATACTTCTGATTCACCATCAAAGCATCAAACTTCTGACCTTTAGAAATGTTTGTGGTTTTTCCTTTTAACTGTTTTTGTTTAAACCTGCATAGGAATTTTGACAAAGTTTATAAGTGTCTACAAAATGCTTTCGTGGCATATTAACGTCAATAACAGAAACAAAAGAAAAAACAAAACAGATTTGTGTGTGTTGTTTATCAATATATTGTTTATCCTTTGAGGAAAATCAAAGCAAACCTTTTGGGGGTTTTTTAAGAGTTGAGAATCTAAAACTAACGTATTGATCTTTCCAGGCTAGTATCGATTTGATATCGATACCAACATGGTATCGATATTGACATATTGGATCGCTCCGCCCACTTCTACCCACTGGATTCAGGCCCAGATCCTCTGAGAGGCAGGAGGATCTTCTCTACATGTTGGTCTTTCATTTTAACACACCTGGAGTTTGTTGCTGTAAAACTCCCATCATTTCATGGTTGCAGTAAATGTCCCACTGCTGTAAATTTCCATTTGTTTTGATACATAATAAATATGGATCCTGATCCAGACTGTGGGAGATGAAAAATGTGCCTGTATTCATACCCCCGGTAATTACTTACTACAATCGGATCACTTTTTAGAGATTTCTGGAAACTCTGATCAACTTAGAGTATAAAAAAAAAATAAATCATTCAGTCACAATTGTATAAAGATGCTTAATAGTTTCTTGGCACAAGATTTGTCCCAACTAAACTCATGTGAAGTTTTGATGTAAAAAACAAAAAGAAGAAAACATTAACATTAGTTTGAAGGTTTTCTTCATCTCTACTGTAACTGTTATCAAATTAGTCCTTATCTGTGTACAGATGTTAAACATAAGTAAAGGAGGGAAGTTTAATCTAAAACTATCTGCAATCCAAATATTTTCAGCATCACATGAATTATTGTTTGAAACATCTCAGAGGCCACCTGATGTAGTGCTTGAAGTTTTTTTTTTTCTTATGAAAACTATTGGGGTCACCGTTGATGTCTTTTGTTTTATTATCCAAACACCGAGGCTCTCCGGGTCAGGTGCTGATGTAAATGCTGCATAGAGAGATGTTGTAAATAAGACGGGGAAACTCACACACACATTCGGGTTTCCATGTACCGATGCGGGAATGCAGTGAAGGGAACATTTTCCTTGTAAATAACAAAACAGAGAAATCAGGCATTGTTCGGGACACAGAGTTAGGTTTGGCAGAGCGTCGCTAATCAGGCAAATATTTAGTTCAACTAGCGCCTTATGATTTTTATTTATTTTTTTTTTTGCTTGATTTGTAATTGCTTAGAGCCTTTAACAAATTGTTCTGCTTTTTTCTTCCCAGAAAAAAGGATTAACCAAATGACTCATCGCTCTGCCGGTTTGTGTGTGTGTGTGTGTGTGTGTGTGTGTGTGTGTGTGTGTGTGTTGATGAAATGACTGATCAGACGTTTGTATCTTTCATTAACAGAAAGCAAATGTTGCCTCTATGTGAGGTCACTAAGAGAACTGGTCCATATTTCAATTTTAACATCTCCTACATTGTACATTTCAATTTTTCTGCTTCATCTTGAACGACTCTCCCATACATTCAGAATTTAGAACAAAATGTTTGCAGTGAGGTGTAATGGAGGACCCTCACAGTTTTATCCACGTTGGTTGGCACACGAGCTGATTTGAAGTATTTGAATAAAGTCACGATTGGTTTAAATGAGCGAGAAATTGTTTTGATTTACAAAACGCTGACAAAGCATTCAGATGTCTTGAGCTTTTTCACATTCTGTCCTTTTACAGTCACAATCGTTGACAGTCATGCTTAACTGAAATGCAAAGGAAAAACATTATGTGTGGTTTTCAAAATTACAAAGAACTGAAGTCTGGCTAGTGCCTGAGTTTGACCCTTTTGAGTCAATATTTTAAAAATCTCCTTTCACAATTTCAGATCCAGGTGTTTTGGAGTAGCTACCAGCGCTGCTCAACTAAAAATATACACAATATATGTGGGAAGAGAAAGAGAAAATGCTTGACATGTTTTGGAAAAATAATAATTTTAAAAAACTTTTAAAAAGTTGTTTTTTTGGGGTAAAACAGCAAACATAGCCAGTAACATATTTTCCACAAATACAATGTTACTGGAATAGAAATGATTAATTTAATTGTATTCCACTATCTGGACCGACTAGCGTCCATGTTTTCAATTAACTAAAAGAAGGAAGACATTTAATGTGGGGTAGGTAACTAACTTTTATTATTATTATTATTATTATTATTTTTTTTTTTTTTAACATATTTGTTAATATTATAACGAACCGTCAATCAAGCTCCTCTGCCTTCTCCTAACTCTTATTGCAGAAATAAGCTGCTCGGTCAGAAACAATCATAGCCACGAGGAGGGACTTAGTGCTGCCAATCACTCTCGTGCACACTCTGCTCCCAACAGCTGGTTAACCACAGTGCAACTCATCATATGTGCTAAGGCTAGCTAGCATGGCCGATGAAGGCAGATAAAGTTTCCCTGAAATAACTTGTTTCTCTGCCACTACTAGCACATTTAGTACTGCACACAAGGTTGATTGGCAGCACTAAGATCCTCCTCCTGGCTCTGATTGGCTGCTTTGGAAGGGAGCAATGCATTTCTTCAGTGTAATAGTAGCACTGGGATGAGGTGAGGGAGCTTCTTTTTTTTTCTTTTTTTTTGCAAATTATCTGTCTCATACTGTCACGACATGGTGAAAGTTTTAACAAATATGTAAAAATGAACACTTTTACAAAAATGTGTTTTTCTGTCACTATGTCCTGACAGTATGAGACAAACAAACCAAGCTCCTCCTCTTGCAGCTACACATCAGCTTCCTTCGCTTATTTTAACATGTCAACCATTGCCACACTAACTTTGTGTTGAAGGTTGGTTTCCCCCTCACACTCGGTGACTGATTAGAGTCAAAGTTTAAATATTGATTTTTCATGTATGCCTCCATAAAGACGGCCTTAGCGGCTTCTTCGTCTGCGCAAAGATGGTGGGCTTTGGGGAAATTCTTGAGACCGTCGGGGACTTTGGCTTCTTCCAAAGGCTTCTTCTCCTGGCGTTGGCCTCGCCACATTTTTTGCTCCCAGTTTTCTTCTGCAGCTTCCTTTTCATCCAGTCCGACCCGGAGCGACACTGCAACACGGACTGGATCCTCAGAGCTGCTAACCTGACCATAGAGGAGCAGCTGAACCTCACGGTGCCCCGGGAGGAGGATGGGAGCTTCAGCCGGTGTCGGATGTTCGTCCCTGAGGACCGGAACATCCAGGATATCAGGGAGAATGGACTCAATGAGACAACAGGCTGCAGGGACGGATGGGTTTATGCTGGTAACATGCTGTATGAATCCACCATAGTTACTGATGTAAGTGAAGAGAGATGATGTTATTCATGCCTTTTCCAGCGACTGCCTTCTAATCATTTCAGCGTCGTTTTTGCAGTTTGATCTCGTCTGTGAGAAGTCTAACATGGCGGAAGTCACCCAGACCATCTTCATGACGGGTATGCTCGCAGGCTCGTTCATCTTCGGACCAGTTGCTGACTCGTAAGTTATTAAAAAAACAAACAAAAAAAGAAGTTAAATTAAATGATTGCCTTACTGACTTGTTACAAAAAAAAAAAAAAAAGATGTAAAGCCTTTATCTGTGTGTTCAGGTATGGCCGCAAGAGAACTACTCAGCTCCCAGTTGTCCTCCTTTTGATATTTCTCGTGGTTGCCGGTGTGTCTCCAAATGTTCACGTTTACATTGTGTCCCAGTTTATTGTTGGAGCGGCGCTGGGAGGATACAGGATGAACTCTATAGTGCTGGGTACGTCTTGTGTGTCTTTCGAACATTTTTTGGTAGAAGTGGGCGGATTGATCCAAACATATCGATAATATCAAAACTAAGTCTGTATCAGTATCGGATTATTACTAGCATGTTAAGATTGATACTCCAGTTTCATTAAAACTTTTTGCATTGTCTTTCAACTCTACCTCAAAAAATAAATTTTGGACTTTATTTATGAAAAAATCATGTTAAGATATTAATAAGGTATTTTGTAGGTAGCTATAAACTTTGCCTAATTTCTACTATAGGTTTGGCAAAAATAATTCAAAGCAAAAATCACAACGGTCAGACATTTGATAAGATGTCAAACTTTAATAAAAAGTATCAGTATCAGACATGCTCACACATGTCTAATTTTTGGATTTATGGATATTTAGTATTAATTTTAACAATAGAGAAAGTTAAACCAAATCGCTGAAATGGAATAAAACCCATTTCAAACCTCTTGTAAATCGTATAGTCCTGTTAAATAAGGACTCTGTATTTATGTCCACTTAAAAACATCTGGAGTTACACTCAGTCGTATCAAACCAGATGCATATGATGAGAAAATAGTTACTCGGCATTTTGAGACAGGTTTTGTCCTGATAAATCTAGTTTGGTTCAAATGAAATCGCAGAAAAGTACGAGTACACTAACAGATTCAAACAGCGTCTCAAGTCTACTTTTCTGTTGTTCAAGTGAAAATAAATGACCTTATTTTCCAAAGACAAATAGGAAAAAAAGCTTGCAATCGATATGTGCATGTTAAAGAAAAAAATGTTAGTAGGACGTTTTCGTGTGGCTGTGCTCTGCAGTGATGTCAGCGACTGACCCGTGTGTGTTTGTGCAGCTACAGAATGGATTGGGATCACCAAAAGGTCCCTTGCCTCCTGTGTGAGCCAGGTGTTTGGGAGTTTCGGACAGTGTGCGTTGGCCGGCCTGGTCTACTTCGTCCGTGACTGGAGGAAAGCACAGTACGTGGTGGCAGGGGCAGAGGCGGTGGTGTTCCTCTACATATGGTAGGTGTCAGCTGTAACCTTTTGTTGTTGTTGTTTGTTTTAAATGAACTACCAACATGACGGCGTTTACACATCGGATCATCAGGTCTGAACCGGTTTGGATCTGCTCAACAGTTTTTGTTTTTCTTTTTTAAGGTGGATTCCCGAATCGGCCCGGTGGCTCTTGGGGCAGGGAAGACCAGAGGAAGCCAAGGAGCTGATCCGAAAAGCTGCGGCGCTCAATAAAAAGGAAATCCCGGAGAACCTGCTTGACAAGGTTTACCAGAGATAATATTCAACCAAATTTGACTTCTGGAGTCAAAGAAAAATTAACTTCTGCAACCGAAAGTATGAAAACAGCCAAGTCATCGTGACGGTGTTAATCCTGAGTAAATACAAAAATCAGTTCTGAAATTAGGATTTTATTCAGGGACAAAAGTTGTCTAAACCAACCTGGATCTAAGTGAAAATGTGACTGTTTAAATCGAACAAACACAATGTGATTAATAAAGGTCAGTTCTTTAGCTTAATATGTAAAATCATTATGTAGTTTGACAGGTTATCTATGTCTGATCAAATGAAATGATCAGACATAGATCATGCTTTGACAGAAAAGCATAAGAAAAAATAAATAGAAGGATTCTGTAAATGGGAAATCCCATTTAACAAAACTATTTTTTTGACATCCATCCATCCATTTTCTGAACACCCTTGTCCCTCAGTGGGGTCGGGAGGGGTGCTGGTGCCTATCTCCAGCTAACGTTCTGGGCGAGAGGCGGGGTACATCCTGGACAGGTCGCCAGTCTGTCGCAGGGCAACACAGACACACAACCATGCGCACACACACACACACCTAGGGGCAATTTAGACAGACCAATTAACCTAACAGTCATGTTTTTTGGACTGTGGGAGGAAACCGGAG